TACTAAGAAGACTTGTTTAATTTTTGTCAAAACAAATAGACTTGAAAAAATGATTATATATTTTGAATTTTGAATGATTGAGGTGTTGACTACTTGAATTTAAATATAATTTTGGATGTTTTTATTATTATGATGAATTATCTTTCTTTTTAATAATATTTCATATTAATATATATTTTTATTTATGATATTTTAATATTGTGCTGCATATTTAAAATTGCGCATGTTGTATCGTGTGCTGTGTTATGGTTCTACGGGGAACTCCACTTTATGATGTGTCATGTGCCATTGACAAGTATGACAATTATTCTTTTTATACCTTTTCTCCTCATATTGATAGCATCTTCTAGATTTAGACAAGCATTTCCCTGAATATTAGTTACCATATGTATCACAAATTGTAGTCAACCACTGACTTTCCTATTATTGCTATTGCACATAAACAAACTTTGCTGTTTCTTGAACTACCTCATGTATTGTTAATTAGACTCTTCTTGTTATGTTATTCCCATTTCTGCTGTACTATTGCCATGTCATATGTTAATAGGCTTACAGTATCTACTAACTCAGTAAAATCCTTTATACAAAATGGAGGCAAAGGATACTTTAACTAATCCTTCAACCCTCTAAAAAATCTTTAGCATTTCTCATTGGCTGTACTAATTAGTCGTGGAGCATATTTGATAATGATGTAAACTCTACCTTATACTAAATCACTATCTTTAATCATTTGGTCAGATTAACAAAACAATCTTGCATCGTCTATCTTGCTAATGGAGGAACAAACCAAATTTTGAAAATTTGCGTGAACTCATCTTTAAATGATCAGCTTCTTAGCTTTATCATTAAACTTCTCCAAATATTGTTTTCTTCACCAATGCTCTATCTCATCTTCCATTATGAAGATTGCCAAAGATATTGGCTTATCACTTGGACACTTTTTGTCATTCAAAATCTTTTTAATCTCGACAATTTAATCCACAATTGTTGGAATCTACTCCTCTCTTAAACATAGGCAGCTTTAAGCTCTGAAATAACTTTAAATAGTTATTAATCTCCACACTAGTTGTTGGTGTTATAGATATCATAGTTATTGTAGTCGCAATAAAAATATTATAGCATTTCCATTATTTGCATCATCATTTTCATTTGCAGATATTTTGGCTATAGTATCTAATACAACTTATACATTTTCTGCTCTACAGCCTTCAACTAGTGCAACAGACTCATGTACCTTAGTCGTCATATTAGTTTGCGCTGACTGGCAATTTATTTATTTTGATACACCCATTATATTTTTTTGCAACGTATTATTATGTTATAAAATGCATATTCTTATACTCATGTAATATTTTATAATAGGTAGTTTAAGTGCAAAACTATTTTTGATTGGTAGAGTTTTTCCTTCCTCATAATTTCTTTGTAGTTTTTTAATCATCATCATAATGGGGCTATGATGCACCGACACTTCTCCTCAAAGAGGCGTGCAGTGTCCGACACCGTGTCCGACACGACACTCGTCCGACACTCTTCCGACACGTGTCGGACACGCCAAAAACGTGTCCGATTAAAAAAATATTAAAAACAAATTGGACACGCGTATCTTAAATATTTTATAATTTTTTTAAAATATAATTTCTTATTTTGGCGAGATTTAAACTAAATTTCTTATTTTCTATCCACAACACCAAATCAACGTCTGCATTTAATACCATTCATTGAATATTCTCATTTTTATTTCTCTTTGGCAGTGAAGGTATTTTCATCTCCTCTCTTTTTGCACAATTACAAATATTTTTCTTGTTAAACCAGAGTTGAAAACAGTGATATTCAATGATGATGATATTAAATGCCAAAAGCAAACCTCTAAAGCTAATCATAGTAGTTGAAGCTTGAATGCTTGATGTTGTAGTAAGTGATTATTTGCTTGCATTTTTGTGGTTGTACTAGACATTTTGTACTAAATATTTTTATATTAAAGTAGAAAAGTTATCATGTCATTCATTTATTATTGTTTGTCATTTTTAATATGATATTACTTAATATATATACACTGTATAAAAAATGTATTGCCGTGTCCGCGCCGTACCCGTGTCCTATATTTTCAAAAAGCCGTGTCCCGTGTCCGTGTGTGTCGTGTCCGTGTCGCCGTGTCGTGTCCGTGCATTATAGTAATGGGGAAAGGGGCTAATTATTCAGTCATTAAGAGATAAAACTAAAGTATGAAGATACATAACTTGGTAGGGGAAAGCCGCTAGATATTTGATGTGAACGTGATGCATGGAAACAAGAATGCTTGGGGATTTTATATAAGATTTTAAAGCTTTGCTAGTTATAGAATTAATGCTTACCCAAGTTAGATTTTCAGAATTATCAAGTTGAAATTAAGTAAGGCATGCGGTTATAACTAGATTAACGGACAATATCAAATTGACAACATAGAATTAGAGAGTAATGCTATGGGGAGAAACAATAATCCACAATTAACAAATAAAACTTTTCACCTTGGGTCTCTCACTCACTCTCTTGTTGGTGGCACTTAATGGAGGAAGATTGAGAACAATCGAGCGATGCCACTAGGAAACAAATGGCGCACAAAAGCGTAGTCCGTTGGAGCGGTAGCCGTGGCTGGGTAGTCCATGAGATGACTAGTGAGCATCCAACGTCTTATCGAAACTTCCTTGATGGCTATGGTGGGGGCTAGAGGCAAATGCAGGAAATCTTGAAATAAAATTCAGATTTTAGTGGTTAGGAGAGGGATTTAATTTGAATTTCAAATTAATCCAAGGAAGGGAGAGAGGGGCGGCAATGGGGAGAAGATTTGGGCTGAATTTGTGAGCTATTAGGTGATTAGGAGAGAGAGGGGGGACCATTAAGGGGGAGGAATTGATTTCAAATTTCAGATTTTGAAATTTGAAATTAAAATCATGGAAAACTGAAATTAAACCTGAGGGAGAGGAAAGAGGTGTTTAAGTAGTGATGAGGTGGCAAGTAGAGAGAGAAAACAATAGGGGAAGGTCGGCCATATGGGAGAGAGATAGAGGTTTGGAATTAAATAGATGGGGACCACAATTAATTGATTAAAATCTGAAATTTAAAGTTCAGATTTAATTATATCATTGTAACTCTCTAATTTAAAGAAATTGGGAGGGAATTTGAATTTTCAAACAATTGTAACTCCTCTTAATTAATTCCCTAATTTAAGGGACTCAATTAGGAAGGTCATTAAGGGCGGGAAATTCAAATTTGCAAGGAGGGCTAAGGGGGGCAGGCGGCAAGGGAGCTCGCGGGCGGCTGGGCTGCGGCTGGGGAGGGAGTTGCCGGCCGCGGTTTGGGCTATGCAGCCCGGCGAGTTGAGGGGATGCAGGCCGACAGCCTGGGCTGTCCAGGAGGGCCGGCGGTAGGGAGCAAGGGAGAAAAAAAAAATCTTAGGGAGAATTTTGAGGGATCCAAGGAGCAATAATCCAATTTTCCACAAGTGCTTCAACCGAATCTCCGTGACGACGAATCGCTCAAGAGAAAGAAAGGAAAAACTATTAGAACAAGAAAACCTAGAACTCACAAAGAGATCTAGCTTCTCCTTCGAACTCACTAAGAAATCGTGGAGGTTTGCACTCACAAAGAGAACATAAGTGGTAAATTTTCATTCATAAAAAAACTAACTATTACATAAGAAAAGGGCCATATATAGACCTCCAAATGACAAAGAAAACAAAAGACTAAAATGCCCCTTGGGCTAAAATAGCGACCAAATACCCATAAGGACAAAAGCGGAAAAAACTGAAAATAAAATAAACTACTACATAAAATGACTCAAAATAAAACTCATGATCGTGGTCGTCGATCTCCGGCGTCTCCTGATGGTACTCGTGTCGAAAATGCTGACGATGTCCTCATCAATATTCATTTGCATTTGAGTAGTGTCTCCCTTAATCAAAATCATAACTGAATAAATTATTGAAGTATATGAATTCATACATGCACACATATCAGATTTACGCATGTGCCTAATATGCAAAATCTAAATGGAATTTCATACAAAACTCCAAATTTTTTTATTACCAAAATATTAAATTCCAAAATCCTTATTTGGTATCATTGGCTACAAAACACTAAAACCCTTGTTAAAAAAAAGTCGGTTAATGAAGTATCTAAATGGAATCTCATACAAAAAACTTGATTGCCTATGATATCCTCCAAGCTTCATATACCCGACCTTCTTTCATTTGGATGTATAAACTTGTTAACAAACAAAATGTTATATTAGAAATCAGGAAAATTGAATTGCATAGTTGTTTATAAATTTTTTTTGCTAACTTACCAATAGCCTCTTGTTGGATGATCTTTGTGTGCACATATTCATTATTTGCACTGTTTGTGAGCTACAATATCGATCAAGTTCCTTTGACCAAATCTAATAAACAAAATAAAATAAAGTTAGTGCATTTATTTTTTAATCAACTATGAATCCAAAGTCTCTTCACTTACTAATTCGCTCTTATCATTTGAATTTAATTCTTGAAGTTGCAAATCATCATGTGATCTGTCATTATTTTATACGTCTTCTTCAACTTGAGGTGTTTTAGTAGGAACAATATTTGTGATTTTTTCTTTCTTTTTGCCACAACTTCTGTCATTGTGCCCACTCTTTTTTATATTTAGTAATGGAGGGCTACATTTGATATATGAAGTGTTTTCTTTTATATTGAAAATGCAACGTACTTCCATTTGAGGAAATGAAACTTTTAAATTTTTACTGGCAATGTTAGGAATGAACATGATATTTTATCCAAGTTTCATTCTGAATACTTCGCTATAGTTGTGGATCAGCGGATGCTTTCTTTATGCGGAATTTCCATCGAACTTGCCTATGGCATTGTTTGCTCCCATTTGAGTTCCTGATTTTAGGAAGATTTTTGGAATTAGAAGTCATCTAGTATCTGAATTGTCCTTTTCCAATCGCTCAACTATGTATCCTGATCAGTTGAATTACTGTATAGATCGGAGTATGACACTATTGGGACGTCAGTGAAAGCCTTGGTCGTTTATCTTGTAACAACACTGGTGAAGGTGAGTGTGATTTTGTTATGCTAATATCTTGCCATGCACAATTGAACCATGGAATGGAACATCATATTTATCAGGCTTTTTTCAAAATAAGAGAAATTCTTGATACTTTTGAATGCTTTAGGGCCAACTAGTTGATTAATTTCTGTACTGATGAATTGAAAGTTCACATACATTTTGTGCTACTAGAGCAGGTGCTAGTTGATCATAAAATTGCTGTTTTTTTTATTTTTCTTGCTGAACATCTTATATTCTAGAGTATCTAATAGAGTTCCATGTGATACATAAAATAATGCAAGAGATTCCCAAAAATTTAGAGGACACAAGCTATTAATTAAGACAATTATTGCTATTTTGATGGAATTTGAAAAATTCGGTAAATCCAATTTTGATGAAAATTTTATGGCTTTTTATTAGGAATTTACGATAAGAATTTAAATACGAAAAAAATGTTGTACATAATGGAAATTTCACACAATCAATATAAATTTGGATTATAACATATTTGACTAGCACCTCACTTTCAACCAAAAAAAAAATGCAAGACGAAGCAAGATGACAATAAAATAAAGAAAGGAAAATAACCTGAAAACAAGCCGTATGCCTATATGTGAAGATAAATCTCTTATGAAAATCTTCAAGTTTCATCATTGATTAAAATGTCAGAATAAATGATGAAGTCTCAAATTCATAGTAAGACTTTTGATTTTATTTATGTTAAGAAAGGTAGAGGTAGATCTAAAAAAATTTGGTTAGAAAATATTAGAAATAAATTTTCTTTATTAGATCTAGATGAGAATTTTATTCTTAAAAGGATACAATGGAGAAAAAGTATTCATGTAGCCGACCCCGCAGTGGGATAAAGTCTTGTTGTTGTTATATAAACTATCTTAAATGACTTTCTATTCTCATATTTATTGACGAAGGAAAGAAGAAACTACCAACAAGCTACTAAAAATTCTTTTCCAAGTCGCCAACAAGCTTCCAACAAATTGTAACAACTTGCTAATAAATTATCATCAAACAGGTAACAAATCACTAACGAACTTAATCATGTAGAAATTTAAAATAATGCCAATCTAACATGAGTAGGTGGAGAAACCTTCACGACAATCTTCGTTGTAGTACATGAGTAGCCACTTCTTATAGGCATGTACACATTTATCTAAGCTTTATAATCTAAAGTTTTTTCAAGTCCTTCAAGTCTTGGCACATATATATCACAAATTAAATATGCCAATCTAACCCTTCCAATGCTTTGATAGTGAGCTAAAGCAATCACAAACTAATAAATACAACACGGTCGCTTTCAAAAAATTATCAGATATACATTGTAAAATAAGATATACAAATCCTAGAGGTACTTGACTGATGATAGATTCTAAGTTTCTTTCCTTACCTTTTCTCAAAGTTATAGAACAATAAAAGTGCTCTTGAAAATGATTTCACTAGCAAATTTTCTTCTTAAAAAATATCTTATTTATAGGTGATAGATCACCAAAAATTGCCTTGATCAAGCACGAATCTCGAGGCATATTCAAGTTGGAAACTTTCAAAGTTAAATTTTGGGCCATCCAAACTCTGATTTATGCAAACTTACAGTCAAATTGAATGTCTCAAGAAGATGAACCCAACGACACCAAAATTAGTCCAATCCAAGCCCAAATGGGCCCAAATCAAGGGACCAAAGCACATTTGGAAGGTTCAAAGCATAAATTGAGTGACCAAATGATATCCAAATATAACACGCTTATAGTCGAATTGAGCGGCTCTACAAGACGAATCCAACGAGCCTAAGATCACTTAATTCTGACTTCATTATGATACTTAAATGCTTGGTGAACGTTCTATGATCACATGAATCAATATGGGCCGTTCAATGGATCACTCCGAAGTTATCTTGAACCTTCTCCATATTTACAGTGCGTGCCAGTCTTAAAATCTGTAAATCGACCCCCTTTCTACATGAAAAGAGGGCTTGGTCCTTTGCAAGCCTAGACCTTTGGCTGGAGATTGGAGAGAGCTCTGAGGCTTCAAAGATCCTTGAGTTCTACCTAAGTGCCAGTGCTGACGAACTTTCGCCGTCCACTACCGGACTACTGTCCGTCCGCCGATCTTCGCCGGACCACCGCCCATCCGCCTACGCTTGTTGACTACAGTCCCTCCTATCATCGTTGCCTATCGACGATGTCCCTCTGACCATCGTCGTCTGTTGACTACGATACCTCCGAACTCCTTCGGTTACCTGACTTCCCACCTCCATTGCCTGCTTATGGTCCTACTGAACAAACAAATAGGCCAACATTCTCTTGAAAACAACTCACATATCACTGGATTCTTCCAACTCCTACCATGCAACGTGCCGATTTTGATGTATATTTGCTACATTGAGCTAAGGCCTTCCCTCAAGAAAGAGCCTCTTTTATAATCAACTACAAACACTAGTGAATTCATTTCAATTAGGCAAGACCCCATGGGTTTTCTCTTTTTCATTTTCAGTGTTTTTTACGTAAAAATTTTGGTGTCGCTTAATATTACTGTACCCTTCTATCTTTATCTCTTTGTGTGTGCTGGATATTGTTCAATGCTTGGACGTTAAGCTCTATATCTCTTTATCGTCGTGAACGTTCCAGGATGCAACAATAGGCAAAGAAGTTTATTTTTTAAAAAGTAGTTTTAAAATATTCATAATAATATTCCCAAAGTTATTCCAAAATAATCAAAAGCCTTTACGGCTATAAAACTGACCATTGCACAACATTTGCTCATTCATTATCGTGTGAATGCGTGCATTTTTGTGGCTTAGTCGCACTCGGTTCACCTTAGCTTTAAGAGTGGCATATAGTATATCTTTTTACTGATTTTTATATAATTAGTAACTAAATAAATTTATAATAGTTTATCATGACTTGCTCCGGAGTTAGGAATGCCATACCTCGAATAGATGATCAAACTAAAATTTTAAAAACTTTTAATTTTTATATCGCATGTATTTTAAAAAAATTCTAAATATTTTTCAGACATATAGTCATCCAATCTTAAAAGAATAAACTAAACAATAAGATTTTATTTATATTCAATTCATGAGATACACCATAGTTTTTTCTGCAAACATAATTTTACAAAATACAAATTAATATATATGTTTTTTGCAATATGTATCTCCCATTGTTGTTCTTCTATTGTAAATTACTTCTCTTCTTTAACTCATTTAAATTAAGGATGACTTTTTTAGAAATGAATATTAATTATTTGGGTGAGTTAAACACTTAACTCAATGCTTCATTACATTTCTAAATTATATTAATGCTAAATTAAGGAAACAATATGCTTGCATATCATTTTCTGTAATTTATAACTCGATGTTTTGCTATGAATAATGAGTATAAATACATTGGTAGATTGTTTATTGATAAAATAAGATATAATCATTTATCAACCATGTTTATCATAAGCAAATGAATGCATTAACTTATCTTATAGTCACTACATCCTTGCAACAATAGCACTATTTATCTTTGTACCATTTAAGACATATTCATCTAAAGAACCTTTGTCAAGCCTATCCCAAGGACGAAGTGAGGGAATGTAATAATTCTACACATCATAACAAGTATTCTTAGCCCGTACCATAATGAGTGAATTCCATCTTTCAACATATATGTGCATGTATTCATATCTGTCATATCCTTTGTACTAATCTCCTCATACAATTATTCATTTTACATAATATTTTAGGATGTAATCATTAGTAGTTGAAATAGGATAGATTTTGACTAATATTCATAACAATATGAAGATTTTGCGCATGAAAAAAGAGAAAGTCACGTTAGATATTTTCCAATGACAAATTTGTAATAACATCATCAAGTGTGAATGAAAAGTGGCATAACAATTAATGGTTCAAATTTAGGATTAGGAATATAATTATGAGAATATGGAAGCATTATTATTCACTTTACTAAGAAGATTTGCTTCTCACTTAGGAGATGTTTAGTTTGAAGTAAAATGAGTGTAAAGTATTTTAAATACAGGGTTTTTGAAAATATTTGTGTTTGATTTGAAGTAAAAGAAATGCCGAGTATAATTTTGAAATATTTGGAATGCATCTTGTAGTTCAACTTAGGTGTATTTGGAAATAATTAGATCTAGTTGATTTTCAAATACACTATAAACTTTCTACCATTGTCATCATCACACTCATCATTCGCTACTTGCTACTTGATGGCACCACGGTTGTCCCTGTTGCCCACCGCCACCGCCTACCGCCACTACTTGCCGCAACTATCAGTCACCGCCTCTTGTCGCCCTCTACAACTGCTGGTCATCGGCCATCGCCATCGTTGGGTTTTTGACTGCATTCATTTTACTTAATGCCAATTAAAATGTAATTACCTTCATTTACTTTACGTTCATCCAAGTAACATTAAAATATTTTAAATTTATTACATTCTTTTTACTTTGCATTTCTTATTCAACAAACCAAAGGCCCCCTTTATCCATATTCAACAAACCAAAGGCCCCCTTTATCCATAAAGGGCATCTTCTTTAACTTAATACCTATAATCAAAATATGCGATTATAAATCAGACATTTATTTTGATTTACTTCTAAAAATTTCTCATTTAATTTTGTATCTCTCTTTATAAGCTTACAATGGTTTAGTTTCATTCAATTGTATAAATCATGCTTAGCAAGTTTTGTCTTTGAACTCCTTAACTTAATATTTAATTTTGAAAATATCACTATCATTAAGCATTTAACTTTTTAATTTCATTTAAATCATAAACATCATTACACTCAAATTCTTTGTACTTTAATTTGATCCTATTATTTAGCTAAATTAATGTTTATTTTAATTCTAATACCTAATTCAAAATTAATGTTTGCAACTATTTGATTGAATTATTAACTTATTTTTACAATTTTATTATTAACCTTTCAATTTTTTATTGAAATATACAACAACAACAACAACATCATGCCTTTGTCCCACTACGTGGGGTCAGCTACATGAATCCTTTTTCGGCTACATATTTTATTCAAATATATGTAACATTAAATTTCATTTATTTTTCTATTTTAAATTTCATTTAAGTTACAATTTTGTTATATCATATTTGATGAAGAAAATAAATATAATAATTTCTTATTTTTTCAAATTATTGATTTATTCAAATCTTTACTTAAAATTAAGTTCTCTTGCTCTTGTATAATTATCAAACTTCTAAAATGAACTCCAAAATTTTCCAATTTCTCATATCCCCTTCATGGTTTGGCTACGTAATGGATTAGCTATAGAAACACTTAGCAAACTGTTAGTTGATACAGTCACAAGGATTGTTATCATTAAATCATTAAAAAGCTACACATGAGTCACATTGGCTCTTAGGGTTAACATTGTAGCAATCAACAACTAAATGGCAGAGTCCTTCATTGTCCTCCTTCCATTAATATGCAAATTGTTTGAAAATTTATAATTTTCCCATCATTTATTGCTTCTAACCATTTTATTTAATGTCCTGCAGCTTATTTGCCTTGCAACCTTTCTAAAGGTTTCTGAGACTGACACCTTTGATCCATATCAGGTACTTCTTATCTGAAGTTATTTCTTTGATAATATTCTTTTTCATAAAGATTAAATTTTGCTTCATCTTTGCTTGAATTTACATGCGGTCATTTATTTCTTGCATGTCAGCATAATTCTTCTTTCAGTCTCGTGGTGCTTTCTCTACTTTGTGGATAATATAAGGCTTCGTTTAGGACAGCTTTTTTGTTGCTTTCTAAAACAGCTTTCTAGTACAAAAATTTCTTGAATTATAAAATTTTATACTAGAAAGCCGTTTTAAGAAGAAGTGCAAAAGCTGTCCCAAACGAAGCCTAAGTCATTAAGTTTATTGCTACAGCATCCTTCAAAAAACTCCTCTTTGCAAAATTACTTTTTATGAATATCCAATTAACATAACCCAATAATTCCTTTGGGAGTCGTGAAGAATCAAACTTCTTATACCATTGAAGGGACGAGTTGCTTGATATTCCCTCCATGCATGCACTTGTTTTCAGAATAAATTAGCTAGTTTGTTGACCAAAATATATTCACTCATGCCTGATAAACCAGATAAGCTGTTCATGCATCACGATTGAGATATCTGATAATTCTAATTGAAAATGTTAAATAAGTGCTAATGTTTTCAGTTGTATTTAATGTAATATGGACTTACCTTGTTTGATCCATAGAAATAATCTTTTGCAAATGCTGGGGTAAGGTTGCATTCATCAACTGCACCCCAAAACAGCATGCTTGCATTGGTGGTGGAGCTCCATGCAGTTGGTTTGCTGCTAAACAAGTACTAACTTGTAAGGTTATAAATTTACTAATTTAATGTTTAAGTAAAAGAATTGACTAATAAGAAATGGCGTGAACAAAAAATGTACAAAAGCATGCGTTTAGCTTTGAATTCAAAATTAAATGTGCAGCAGACTGTCTACAAAACCATTAATTTATAGAAGTCTTAATTTCTAATAAGCCAAAGTTATTCAATGCACACAATCATAGAAACCTAATATATTATTAATCAAGTTCTTGAATGTAATTGAAAGAGTTGGAAGATGGCAATATAAAAATATCCAGAATAGCTTGGGGAATATGATTGAATCGCACAAAATCTAGTAAATCATTACAGGTGATATCTAAGAGGATGTGCTAATAAGATGAAGGTCCTTACTCTAACCTACTGGTCATCCTGGGCAGCTGCTAGCTTACAATAGAAAGCCTCGAATAAGAGAAACTCATAGAAATCAAACCCAACTTTCCCAGAGTACCTACCTTAAAAAAAATAAATGTTGCATGCAAAATTGTTGTGCCATAATAATTCAGATGGAAGTCATTTGAGTGTTGTTCCACGTGCTTGATGCCCATTTCATGAATTGGGAATGTGTATAGAGTACCCAAATGCTATATAGGATGCCATAAATTTTCATTCCTTCGTTTTAAAAAGCATACCTTAAAATTTCATACGTTGTATAAATCTTGTTGTCTCTTCCTTTAAGTGTGGCATGTGGAATTACATTGATCTTAGAGTAGGCAACTAAGAAAACCACAAAGCCTGAGAATGGTTGAATATTAAAAATGTTTTACAATGTTCCTAGAGATTTTACATAGCAACATGATGGGAATAGGCCATTTAATGCTTAAAAAAAATCCCTGTCTAATCCTTGTTGCCAATTATGTAGATCCAATAGAGAACTTCCATTCACTAGTTCATTGACATGTATGGTATGTCAGAAGTGAGGGTGGTCTTCTACCTTACATGTTGCTACTTTCTATGATCAAGTGATAGGATTGATAATTATGTACTAACTTTAAACTCACAAGAAAATTGCTTGAATTTAATCAAATCAAATCAAAATGGATTGACTTAGGCTCAAAGGAGGCTTACTTGAAATAAGCACTTTAAATCAACTTGATTTATGAAATATTCAATATATTTATCTTCATAAATATGCATACACATATTGATATATAAATAAACACATAATATTTATATAGATATTCATTTATGGTACATATCAATGTTATGTGACATTGTAAAAATGTTTAATATGATTATTTATATGTAATAGTTTTACATAGAATTTTTAAAATATTTAATAAAAATTATTAAGCTTGGCTGATGTAGCTTAACATCAAACATCTTTAACTTAGCTTAAAATTGGTTCAAGTGGAAATCTAAATCTTTTATTTAGAGTCAAGTCTAACTCCCTTGAACACATGGTTGGAAGTGAGCTTGATTAACTTGAATTTGACTCGTTAATGAGCTCTTAAGTTGAGCTTATCGAGTCGCGAGCTCAATATTAAATTATAGCTCTTTGTTAAATTAGCTCAAGTTTGAGCTTGACGAAGCTCGGTTTGTGTGCTCGACAAACTAACTCGAGTAAACTAAATAGGTGACTCTCACTTGAGGTTTCTCAAGCTATTTTGAAGGTCACATGTCTCATGAACTCCTTTTCTTTTTTAGTGCCACTAGTTCCATTGATGCTTTCTCTAATGAGGTACCACTACAACTTCATAGCCTATGGCCTTGTTTATTCCTTCTCCAACAAGTTCCTATTGTGACGTTCTCATTGTTGGACTCATCCATGCTTTTTCCGATGAGCTCTTGCCATAAATTCTACGTCTCTACCAATGTTGATGCCATCTCTAGTGAGCTCGCACTATAAATTTGTCGCTATTGGACCTTCCTTGGTGAGCTCTAGTCTTGACTTTGTCTATCCTTTCTCTAATGAGCTCATGTTGTGACTTTCTTGCTTATTTGTTGTCAAGAGTTTGACGAATTCGGGAGAAACTTGAGCTCACTAGTCTAGCTCGAGATGTGAGTTTATATGACGTGCTAAGATATACCATCAAAAAGCTCAATATAGGAGCTCTACTTAAGCTTGAGCATTTTGTGACTTAATAGAATCAAGCTTGTCTAGATTCATTGACACCCCTAGGTGAACCAATTCAATATCATCGCTGATCATTATATGAACTCATGCTTAAACTCACTTTTGTAAGTTTTATCTCTTCTTTGCTCCCCACAGACCTAACTATTGAACTTTCAAATAGTTATTGCTTCAATAGTTATCTCCTCTGCTTCTCAATTCTCACTTTCCTTAGCGTTCCTGATTTGATTAGTGCAATATGTCAAAACTTGAACTATTGTCCATAAATATGTTGTTCTCTTTGGCCTCATGATTCACAATTGTGCTCTTGCAGCTTTCTAAGAAGGTAACCTATCTTAGAGGTGCTCCAGAATTAGTGCACTTAATTTTGGAAGTTTTGATTGAACTCAAGCTATTATATCATGAGATGTTTTGATGTTTAAAAGTTTTACTACATTGTATTTAAGAGATCTTACAACCCCTTGTTAGGAACTAACATCTTCATCTATGGCCTTACAGAACCTATAATCATTCATTAGGTAGATATGATAGCTCGAGCTAGCCCCTATAATTTTAAGATGTAGCCCTTGCTTTCACAAAATTGCAGTCTTATCCATTGAAATATTTCCCGCTTTGGCCTTTCATTCTTCTTGATATTTTTCTTCTTGGTATAGAGAGGTCACTCATGTTTTTCAATATGAGCATATTTAACTTTGAAGGTCTTGATGGAACTCAAGCCATTACACCAAAGACATCTTGATGTTGTCGAGTTCTAGTTTACAATATTTAAGAGATCTATTAATCTCACCCAGTTAAGCTATTGAAGTCCTCATCAGCGGCTTTATAAATAACCTGATAACATTCACTAGTCTTACAGAATTCATGAGGTGGCCCCTATTAGTTCATGAGATGGCTTTCGTGATATTGTATTGTCTCAAATGAGTTCAAGACATCGCTTCCATTGCATAGTAATTTGTCCTGAATGGTAGAAAGTTTTCATGTTTCAGAGGGTGCATTGCTTTGATATCATATACTAGTGTGATGTTATTCACATTGGCATCACATGTCCCATAGTTTTTCTTTTCTTTCTGATGCAATTTCCCATGAGGATCACCCCTTTTAAGGGTGCTCCAACATAAGAATATATGACTTTGATGGAACTCAAGTTGTTACATCAACATGACCTCAATTATGAAGAGTTTAACTTCATTTTATTTTGGCGATCTTACAACATCATCAAGCTTTGACAATCATAGTTCCAATATTACTTGACCATCCCCATTTTTTGTTGTGGTATTGATGGCCTTTTTGCTCTCATAATGTTCAGTCTTTAATCTATAAGCAGTTTCACCCAAGTAATTCCTTTTTATATGACTTGTTATTTTACATTTGATCTCCGCTTATGTTGAAAATCTTCTTAGAGAAGTGGCAAACTAATTTTGAATTTATGGTTGATTTGAATTTAATCTGTGATGTATGCTAGGCTGCTGAAGTATTTTTGCAAATCTGCTAATTTTTCTTCAAGACAGGATTGGTAACAGTGGCATAAACAATGATGGATTTTGTTTTGAATTCAATTTAATTTTCTTGTTGATTTTATGGATTTTTAAGTGTTCTTTCAGAAACTTCTCATGTTGCATTAAGGGAACACATCATTTTAGTTACGACAAGATCAAAACAGGGAGTCTAAAAGATGACTGTTGGTTCCTATTAATATCTGATAAGAATTAAGATACAAGGCCAAAAACTTGAATTCTGGTTAGGGGTTTACTTGGTTCATGGTTATGAAGATATGCAGCTATTGATGTAAGCAAACTAGTTAGAAAAGCCAAAAACAAAGAGAACAATGGGCAGAACTAAACCAAACTTGATTCAAATAGTAGCAATCATCTATAACATCCAAAATCCGACGAAGAAAGCTAGAAGAGAATTCAAAGAAACAAAGAAAATAAAAACAACGCTATCCTCAGACAACCGTCAGAGCGGGCTCCTCACATGCATCGAAATGTAGGTTAAGTAAAATTAATGCTTTAGGGCTAGCAAACCGATGGTCCACCACTGCAAGATAGTCCTATTGTCTCGACCTGCAAATGCTCCCAAATCAACCAACAAACACCACCAAAGCTCAAGAAGAGGATACATATGGAGTGGAACTTGCGGAGAGACGAAAGAGGTTAGAAGCCAAGACGAAGGGTGGAAAGTACTCGCAAGTCTTTCTTTGAGGAGATGAGAAGGAGAATGGAACAAGCTCGCAAGCTTTTCCAATAACCCGCAGGTTTATAGCAAATTTGCTCTCAATAATCAACTACCTTTCCTTCTCAAAACATCTCCCATTTATAGGCAATAGAGGAGAAACCAAACAGCCACTTTATTGAATTCCCACAGGAATCCAAGCAGCACAAACCACAGAAATCCCCTCATCATTTTACGGGAAACAGCCCAGCCAGGGACCGAAGAGGCAGCCACGGAACCGAAGAGGCATCACAGAACCGAGGCGCCAAAAGACACGGAAAGGCCACCCAGCACGGAAAACAGCAGCCAACGGGGAAACCAAGGAGCCATGGAACGGAAAACAACCAGCACAGGAAGCCCAAAACAGCCACGGAATTCCATGGGACAAAGATAAATATTAAAGAAGAAAAGGGGAGGAGAAGGGACAAGACCACTCCAGTAATGAATCCAACTTATGAGCTTACCTTAGAACATTAATGAGCTACTAAACTTCAGCTCATCAATAATGAGCTAGCAACTAAGAAAATGAGCTCAACTCCAATGAATCAACCTCCTCCACACATCACCATAGACTCCAAAACCGTGGACCATAAGCCAACCCGTGAACCAGCAGCAGCCAAGGACCAATCGAGCCAGCAAACCAAAGGTCTACCAAGCCCCAATCACTACCTACCATGATCATTGGATGCTTTCCCATCATTGGATATCTAAAAAAGAAAAGAATATAAAATAAAACATACTAATGTTTAATAAAAAATAAAAGTACAGAATATTTGATAGCATCAGCTATATAAGATTAGAGGGTGATTGACTTGTTAAAATCTTCTGGACTGGTAAATTGAATGTCCAGAACAAAAGAATCTAGATAGCACCTAGATTGGATGGTGTCTATATTGTCTTAATCATAAAAACTCAGATTTGAGAAATAAAAAGGAAAAGCTAGAATCATTATTGAATCTTTTGGATGGCATGCATCATTTAAGCAATATAATACTTAAGCAGATAGAGTGCATTTGATAGCGCATTTATTTGGATAACATTTTTATCTAAATAATATTGAGCAAAAGGACATTGAAATCTCCTATGTATATCCTCATTCCTTGAGATGTTCATGGCTTTGATTATTTTGTTAAACTTTTAGTCAACTCCCTAAATGGTTGGTTTATCTGCTGTGTAGATCAGTAAACTATTGTTGATAGATTTATTAAGTTTATTAGCTGCCTTATTTTAATTGACTACAATGTTAATCCTACTTAATTGAGCTTCATTGGTCTTTTGAAATCTTTTCTGCAGCATTTTATTTTTCGCTACTTTCGCCTCCAGATTTTTAATTGATAAAATGCTAATCCTTCTTATCAAGCTTCATTGGCGCTTTTAAAATATTTTTGTACATCATTTTTATTTGTTACTGCTGTCCTAGTTGGTCAGGCTTCAAATTTATTGCCTGGTATGAATAACAGGAACTGATGCGGACACTTATTGGCTTCATAGACATTGCTGGGATTTATTTTGCATTGACTCAATTGACTCATAGGAACATCTCTCAAACGCATAAATTCCAAGCTGTTGGACTAGGTATGGATGGGATATTATCCATTATTTTAGTTATTACCTGATTAAAAGTACATTCTTTTAATCCCATATAACTTGCATTCCAGTTTGGTTTCTAATTGTCTGTTTACAGTGGACTCCATTGCGTGTGGCTGGCAGGGTTTAGAATTTTGGACGGTCTTAAGCTCTGTCTGAGCTTCAGGCTGTTCAATTATTCCCAATCTTCTTGACACCTTTTTTAGCTGTCAAATTATAATTCTTTTTTTGTTCTATTATTCATATAAATTTGATTTTAAATGATTATAAATTTGATTTTACTATTCTAGTCACCATGAACTTTATTGTGACGAAAATGAGGCCGATCCAGATTGATTGCCAAGTTGAATTGCCCTTGGTTCTGTTGGGGTAGAAATACACAGTTACAAGACAGTTGGTTGGCCATTAAAACAAGAGAGATGTTAGAAAATTCAAATAAAAAAAATATACTCATTTCAATCAAAGGAAGGAAATATTTCATAAATTAATGTCTAAGACCAGCAGGGTTCTTCATTGACAATTCATAAAAAAATTTACAATTCATGATCCTTTGCTTGAAAAGACAAACCACTAAATATTTATATCTGAGTGACTAGGTCTAATGGATCTCCCATTCATCTCCATCTGGTCCACCCATATTCCACCAATCATCCGGAGGCAAAAATAATATGGTGAGATAAAGTGAAAGGAAAATATTGGACTCTTAATTAATAGAACCATAAGAAAGCTAAATGTTAGACAATGGTAGGATTTCATGCAAGTAATGAACAAGTCTGGTCATACTGAATTAGGTTTGTCATCAATCAACAAACATGTCTGGACAGACCCAAGGAAGTTGGCCATGCACATCTATATTAAAAAATTCAGTAATCCTGTCATTTTAGCATTAGGAAATTTCTTCCATGTTCATATCTAGGATCTTGAATGGATGGGGTTATCGATTCTTCACGTTTGTCTTAATCTCCCATGTAACTTCTGGCTTTATTTAATTTCACTATAATGCTTTGACCGTTAATAACATCTTGAGTTATCTGTCTTGGTGGGCCAATATCTTGTTCGACAGCTTTTTATAACTCATGTTAGTTGAATCTGCATCTCATTAGGGTTGAGTTAGATAATGTGTGTTGTGCTGACAATGTAAAGCCTGTGCATTAAAACCTGAAAGATTATGTGCACTCCAACTAATTGAGGAAGTAAAGCGAGCTCATAGGCAACTTGTGCTGCATGAGAAATCTCAAAATTTCCAACATGGCCAAATCACTTGATTTCCTTCATGTGGCTGACTCTGAGAAGCATAGTCTTCAACTTTAGATGGTTAAATCATTCAAATCCATGGTATTTTCATTGTCATTCTTGCGCTCCTTGAAGTCATTATCAAAATGCCTTAATCATTTCCATTGTCTTGTCAGCCGATTACTATCTAAGGATGGCTCATTCTCTTAGGTTGGTCCAACATATAAGAGATCAACAATTTTTTTAGTACAAAGCGTTGTATAGATATACGGATGTTGACTTGATGGCTGGTTTATATGAACTTGATCAGTGGTATGTGTTGTTTCCACCTTTCGCCAAAATTGAATACACAATCTAACTAGGTCCTTTAGGGCTTGTATCGTTCATTCAGATTGTTCGTCCATTTTGGGGTGTGATGAAGCCAAGTGAGGTTCCCATTGTCACCTTGATAATTGTGAGGTGAACCTCCTAACTTGATTCAAGATGATTGTCTTGGTAGGAAGTGACTAAGGATGATGCTATTTACGTACAACTGTGTGTCAATCCACTCTTTGGGTATGTTAGATAGACAACAAATGAGCACTCTTAGTGACTCGATCGACAATTACTCATATTATAATGATATTGTGGCAACTTTGTCAATTTTGTCTCATGTTCATTGTTATTTTCTCCCACTTTCACATTGAGAAAAGCCTATTGCTATGCTTCTCTTTTTTTTTTTTTTAATGTTCAACTTTCACTATTTGAGCATGCTCTTATGAATTCTATGACATCCTTAAACAATTTGGCCAGCTAGAAATGTGTCTTTAAATTTCTGTACTTTTGTGAGTTTTTGGGTAGACAATAACTCAATTGAAATGCGTAAGGACGTGTTTGACTCTTTGTAGCAATACATCATTGTAGATATTGGAATCCTTTTGTTCCTTTTGCCAAGGTGAGTATTACTGTTGCCATTGAGTGCTACTTCAAGAAGTTGAAGCTCTGCTCGCACTCATCAGTCCGCTCGAACTTGATTATCTACAGACTTAATTGGGACAAGGGAATCATCTTCATTAAATAATAAATTAACGTGGCTATTTTTCAGTATTGTTTGCGTCATGTGGTTTTCTTAGAACCTAAGTGATATTCTTATACCTTGATGTAACCATGAAAATTGCAGTAGGGGTTTGAATTAAGTGCACTTCAATTTTTTGAGGATATGTTGTAATTTTAAATGTCTTGTTCAGAATGGTGGATAGTCAAAATAAGAAAGCAACTTGAACTTTTTACTTCTTAAGAGTAGGATCTTCATGGGAACCCATGCTGATAGCAACCTTTTTTTGATCATTGCAGGGTGGGCTTTTGCTGATTCAGTTCTATATAGGCTGGCACCTCTTTGGATTGGTGCTAGAGGCTTAGAATTTACATGGGAATACATATTCCAAGGCCTTGAAGCCAATGCAAATCTGGTATGCATTTTGTTTGACCTTGAACTTCATCATACACATTGTTCAATAGCCAAGATGTTAGCAAACCAAAATATAAATTTCCTTTTGAAATTGAGAAGCATGCTGATACTTTAAAGTGTTTTGGGGGATTTACATACATATCACAAAATTCTTATATTTTATATATCCAATGCCTAAACTTTTATATTTACTGGTATAATACTTTAGTGTCTCAAACACATGAAAATATATACATGAAAAGGTGTATTTCACTTTAGAAAAAATGAATATTAGTGGCGTTTTTTATGTGATTTAAAAATTTGTGTTATATGAATAAATATAGAAATTAAGTGTTATGTAAATGCATACGAATTTTATGGTATATAAGTAAATCCCTCAAAAAAAAATTTTTTTTTAAAGACTCTTCAGATAACTCTGATTTTGCATAGAATTAAGGTTTTATTGGTAATTTTTTGTTTATAGTTTGGCTTATATTTGCTGCTTGTTATCCTCTCTGCTTGAAGACAAAGCTCGAGTAATTTTATGATTAAAAGTATGTTTTACTAGAAATGATAGTAATTAATTAAAATTAACATTTTTGTGCATGTTGGAAGACCACTATCATTTTATGTGAAAAAGACATTTTGGTTGTTGCCACACCGACTAGTGAATGTGTAGTTTATCTTGGGTCGGCAGCTTACTGCTCGTACATGACAATAAGTAACTTCTCTTCTAATTCTCTACAATGCTCCTGCTTACAAAGGGAAAGAGCTTGTATAAGCCTTTGCTGATTACCAAACAAACTGATAGGAAATGCTAGTATTCACAAGCAAACCTAACCCAAATCAAGTATCAAACAAAGAACACTGCTGTCCACAGCAGGAAATCAGCCCAAACAATGGAAAATCTGAGAGAAACGTGAGAGAAAATGTAGGAGAACAATTGCAAACACTTGTATTCCACTAGTAGGTGCAAACAACAAGTAAGATACAATTTTCCTTCAATTCGAGAGGAAGGAAAAACTCTCCACTATCTCCGGCAACGCCAAGAGCCCAAAACAAACCCTAGATCTCAAAGAGAAAAGTCAAATTCAAGATACCCCCTAATTCTCTCATAACTCCCTAATTAAAGCAAAAGGAAAGATACTCATTCAAAAATTCCCTCCAATGAAACGCTCCAACCCCGCCTAGCCCGCTCTCTCTTCCGCCGTTTCTGCGACTGGGTTCCGCCCGGCTTTGGACCGCCGGGTGTAGAACCGGACTGGTCCAGCTGGGACCGGTCCAAGCATAACATTACTTCCCTCCCAAAGATTCACCTTGTCCTCAAGGTGAAAGTACGGAAACTGCTGTTTCATCATCTCATAGGGCTCCCAAGTGGCCTTGTAGTCGGGGAGATCCTTCCATTTGATCAACACCTCTTTGTTTCCTTTTTTATCCCGCCTTACCCCTTCTAGCTCCACGGGTTCCATAACCACTTCCAAATCCTCTGTCAGTGATGCTGGCAATTCCACACTAGCTGCATGCTCTCCAAGTGCTCTCCTCAGCTGTGACACGTGAAACACCGGGTGTATGGTAGCGGAGGATGGTAATTTCAGACGATATGCCACTGCTCCAATCTTCCCCAAGATCTCATAGGGCCCGAAATACCTCGGGGCCAATTTCTCATTCCTCCTGTTAGCCAC